AAAAAAAAAAAAAAAAAAAAAAAAAAAAAAAAAAAAAAAAGTCCTATCTTGGTTATTTATTTGATGTCTGACATTTGATGTGTGACACAGTAAAGTGTCATGAGTTTAAAAATTCTGTTAACCACTGCAACTTTTATGTCACAAACATCTCGTATACAGTGTCCAAACTAAATTCTTCCACACTCACCCTAGTTTTCTATTCCAGTTTTTGTATTCTCTGTCTCAGTGAGTAGTGCCACATACTCTCAGTCACTGAAGCCAGTGACCACTTATCCTCAATTCCCCCAATTCTACACAATCAAGTGTTTACAAAGATGTCTTAATTTTGTTTCCAAGTTTTTATTTTTTTTTGTTTTTTATTTTTTTGAGACAGCGTTTCGCTCTTATTGCCCAGGTTGGAGTGCAATGGTGCGATCTTGGCTCACTGCAACCTCCACCCCCTGGGTTCAGACAATTCTCCTGCCTCAGCCTCCTGAGTAGCTGGGATTACAGGCATGCACCACCATGCCTGGCTCATTTTGTATTTTTAGTAGAGGCTGGGTTTCTCCATGTTGATCAGGCTGTTCTCAAACTTCTGACCTCAGGTGATCCGCCTGCCTTGGCCTGATAAAGTGCTGGGATTACAGGTGTGAGCCACCATGCTGGGCCTCTAATTTATTTCTTTAACCTCTGTATACCACTGCCATCCTTCCTTCATTCCTACAATTTTAATGAAAGCTTTCTTAATTATTTAATATTTCTCGCCTGGATTGCTAAATTAATTTCCATTCTCTTTACCCTATACTGTTCTTCACATTACTACTGGAAGTATCTTTCTAAAAGGCAGATATGATCATTTTGTTCCCTTGCTTAAAAATCCTTTAGGTTTCCTCCAATCTTTTTTTTTTTTTTTCAGTCTTTCTAAGGTTCAATTCAGGTATATCCTTCAATCTTTAGGCAAAATTAAAATTCCTCAGTCTGGCCCCAGCCTAACTTCTTGCCTTTGCCTTAGGGCTTTTCTGTCTTCCTACACGTTATTCTGCCTGGAATGCATATCCTCCTCTCAACCTTGTCTGCCAGTTAAATTCTTTAAAACTTAGTTTAGCGTCTTCTCCTCTGGAACACTTTCTCTAATCTTCCCCACCACCTGTTTATCAACATACATACAAGCACACTTACTTTCTCATTCTCCCTCTTTATCTCTGCATGCCTATGTTAGGTGTTTTAGTATTTATCATACTTTTTATATTTACTTATCTCCCCACTAGTCTACGAAATCCTTGAGAATTGAGACTACTTTTTATCTCTATATGTCTATCTAACATGGCCAACTGACTACCCTTGAACTGTCCTAGGTTTTACACATTTTAGCTTTGGTTTTAAGATCTCTGGTGAAAAAAAATTCTTAAATTATAAGTATTTCATTGTCCATACTAGGGGGGAAAAACAGAGGAAAAAAGTAAGCAAAAAATGCTAACCTTTAGCAGTCTAAATGGAGACTAATAATATTGCTAGTAGAGTAGAAGTTAAAAACTTGGTATGGTTGGGCCGGGCGCGGTGGCTCAAGCCTGTAATCCCAGCACTGTGGGAGGCCGAGGCGGGTGGATCACGAGGTCCAGAGATCGAGACCATCCTGGTCAACACGGTGAAACCCCGTCTCTACTAAAAATACAAAAAATTAGCTGGGCATGGTGGTGCGTGCCTGTAATCCCATCTACTCAGGAGGCTGAGGCAGGAGAATTGCCTGAACCCAGGAGGCGGAGGTTGCGGTGAGCCGAGATCGCGCCATTGCACTCCAGCCTGGGTAACAAGAGCGAAACTCCGTCCCAAACAAACAAACAAACAAACAAACTTGGTATGGTTTAAATTCAGGTTGTATCTTCTAGCCTTAGGAAAGTTTTTTAACTTCTCTGTGCCTTGTATTCCTCATCCGTAAAATGTTTATGAGTAGAGTCTGTTCTGCTATAACTTTTTTTGAAAACGTGGATTTGTTCTAATGCAATTAATATACTTGGGAACAATTTGAGCATAACACAAATTTTTTGTTTGTTTGTATATTATTTTTGTCAGCAAAAAACATGCACCCAGCTGAAGTGAGCATGCACACATCTCAAACATGTAACAGCTACCCCAATTCACTGTGTATTATGAACCATACATATCTGGTGTTAAAATTTCAGGTAACCCTCCTACCACTTCCACAGTAATTTACAAACTGCAGCCATTTTGACTCCCACTTCCATAGGCAAACTTCAGGTCTTTTTTTCCAAGGTAAAGTACTGTCTTTGTTGTAGCATTTATGGATTTAGAAAACATTTAGAATGTGTAAAACTGTGTTGCCATTTTTGTTACGTTCCTGTCTCATGTGGTCATTGAAGTTTTTTAATGTTATATCCCAATCTCCTTTTCCCTACAAGCCCTGTGGTGTTTATTATGGATCTTGCATAGCACACAGACCTTTTCTGTTTTGGTTTTTTTTTTTTTGAAACAGGGTCTTGGTTTGTCACCTATGCCAGAGTACAGTGACACAGTCACAGCTCACCGTAACCTAGAACTACTGGACTCAATCAATTCTCCCACCTCAGCCTCCCATACCCAGCTAATTTTTCTTTTTTTAAAATTTTTTTGTGGAGACAGCATCTCACTATATTGCTAGGGTGGTCTCAGACTCCTGGCCTCCCAAAACACTAGGATTGTAGGTGTGAGCTATTGTACCTGGCTAGTTCAGTGACTTTTAATGTATTTGTCATGTTATAGCAGAACTGATTGTACTTACCTCACAGGGTGATTTATTACATATGAAGGACTGAGAATGATGTTTTATACATAATAAATAACTAATAAATGTTAGCTACCATCATCATCATTATTATTGGAAATATTGTTATTTAGTCAAAACATTGTAATGAGAAGTATTGATGGAATTTAATCTGTATGTTTGCCAGTTGTCTTTGGTTATAAAAGTTGTTGCTAAAAGATTTTCAAGACCATGATATTCAAAGATACTGAGTCTTTTAGTCTGTTAGATGTTTAATTAGTTGATATGTGTGTAAGTTGAATTAGTGGCATGTCATGCCCTAAGTGTGATTAGTATGACTAATCTCCTAAAATAAAATTTAAGAGGGTTTTGGAATATATTCTTTTCACTTACTGAGTACTCAAAAATTTACTCAAGTACACGATCTGATTCACATTTGGGGTTATTTTGTTGAAGGTTCAGAATGCTAAGCAAGTAAACAGTGCACTTAAACAGAAAATGGAAGGTGGAATTGAAGAATTCAAACCTCCTGAGGTATGTTATTGAAGAATATATGTGATTAAGTATAGTGAAAACTTGTTTTTTCTGTTATTCAGTGTTCAAGTACTATTTTGGTCACATGCATCATTAATACTTTGAAGATTGCATAATATGGATAATATATTATGTCTCTATTTTTTTTTATTTAAATGATCTTATGAGGCTTGGTTAATTGGTTTGTATTTAAGTTAAATTATTTATTTCTTGCCCTTAGAAATTCATAGCAAGCAACGTAACTAGGGAAAATAGTAGTAAGAACAGTGTATGTGAAACTAGAAGCTCATTGATGAGCAAGCTAGTATATTTCTGGGTCTTCAGCAATGTTTGCTCAAAGCCCTTTCCTGCTTGTGTGAATTGGTAACACAGCAAGAAAAATATCTCAAAAAAAAAAATTATTTTAGCAAGTTTTTATTTTAAGATAATTGTCTTTTGGCTCAGTTTCCACTTATGATTTTAGTATGAGGACTTACATTCTTCTACATAAAAACAAGGTATGGATTGACCATTTTCTTAAGTCTCCTATTTCAATTGAAACCTAAATATGTTTTTGCTGTTCGTGGTAATTACAAGGGTACTTATATTTTCTTAAGGTCCAATCAGGTCTTTTTCTAGGAGCTTCAGATCTTTTTCTAGGAGCTTCTATTATCTTTTTTTCTCTCTTTCTTTTTAAGACTTCCATATTATGCTTCATATCCTGGATTTGCCTTTCTGTGTATGTAATAATCAAATAATCTTATTTGGTCTTATAGGAACTTTTTTTCCCCACAAGGGGGAAACTTAGGTTGACTGAAATGTCTACAGATGAAATATATGTGAGGTGCTATGGGGAGGCAGAATAGTAGTACTTCAGAAATAATGTACCATATGCCATCTTAGTCATCAGTGTCTTTCAGAAAGGAAGACTTATGAAAAACGTTGTTTTCATTGTTTTAAATAATCTCTTTGAAGATGGTTAGTTTATGGAAAAGAGCAAAAAATAATACAAAGACTGATATCTCATTCCTGGCCCACAGGTAAACTGACAAACATTCGTAATGATTATTTAAGGATAATATAGTACAAAAATTACCATTTTATTTTGTTATTGCAACAAAAATTATTTTAATTTGTGTTATGCATTAAAAATTCATGAAAGCAAAGAATTTTAAATGTCTATAATTTTGTTATCTAAAAGTTAAATAAAATACCACAGATATTAAAAACATTGTGAGAATAGCAGGAATAACTTTATGTTAACAAGTGTGAAAAACAAAACATGGGAATTCCTAGGAAAATGTGTCTTATCAAAATTGCCTTTTGAAAAAGAAAGAAAAGCTGAATAATTGATAATCATTAAGTAAAACGAAGGATAAATAACATTTTTCTCTCACAAGAAAATACCAGGCCCAGACAGTTTTACAGAAAAGGTTTACTGAATTTTCAAGAAAAGGATAATTCTAATCTCAGATTTTCCATAAAATTACAGGACAGTCTCACTCATTAACTTTATGTAAAGAAAGATGTGAAAGGCCGGGCGCGGTGGCTCAAGCCTGTAATCCCAGCACTTTGGGAGGCCGAGGCGGGTGGATCACGAGGTCAAGAGATCGAGACCATCCTGGTCAACATGGTGAAACCCCGTCTCTACTAAAAATACAAAAAATTAGCTGGGCATGGTGGCGCGTGCCTGTAATCCCAGCGACTCAGGAGGCTGGGGCAGGAGAATTGCCTGAACCCGGGAGGCGGAGGTTGCGGTGAGCCGAGATCGCGCCATTGCACTCCAGCCTGCGTAACAAGAGTGAAACTCCATCTCAAAAAAAAAAAAAATAGAAAGAAAGATGTGAAAGTCCAGTAGCATTTTATAGCTTTCCTATGTGCTATCTTATTTGATGTTTATGTAAATCCATACAGATAGATGAACCAGATACTATTATTTCACATGAGGAAACTGGAAATCAGGAAAGTTAACCAACTACTTCAAGGTGACCGAACGAGTAAATAATGAAACTCTGGCTATATCTTATCTTTTTAGAGTCCTGATTGGATTTCTATATTAGTATATATCATGCTACCTCTTACATTTTAAGTTTTTGTATAATAGCAAAATTATTTTACATTTCCACATTTTAATGTAGTTATTGGGTAAGAAGTTATCAAACATTTATTGTATTTTTTGATTTATTATAAAAATAATGATCAAAATAAAATAACGAAAATGCTAACATGCTACCATCCATACACCGAAGTTGGATATTACTTTGGGTTGATTTACTGAACTTATATGAGATGGAAAATATGTGTTTTATCATCTAAAGAGTCCCCAGGATGTATTTATATTTGTCATATTATTATTACTGCTTTGGGGAGGAGGGCAACTTGAAGAGATGTGTTTCAGTTAACAGTTACAGTACAGAACTTGATGAATCAGGTAACCTATCTCCTTACTTTAGGTTAAACCATACTGAATCAAAGAATGTTAATAACTTTTGAAATAATTACAATAAGCCATCACATGAAGTAACTCTACTGAAAGTAAGCTGTCACTAAAGTGCTTTACTTACTAATTTGGTTGTATTTCTTACTTTCATTTAGGGAAAAATTTGTTGAAGAAAGTTCATTTACTTCCACAAGTATTTATTGATCAGCTATTTCATATGAGGCACTGTGTTAGTCCCTGTGAAAAGTGTGTGGGAAGGGGGAACACATAAAGATATGGACAAGATTAGGTGATTTTTTTTTACACCTGCTTTTTAAAAAAGGAACTTGCAGTCTAGATGTTATAAGACAAACTGATAAAAGTTGTGTGATAGATTTATAAGCAAAGTGTACAGGAACATAAGTGGGCATTATTCATTTTGGCAAGGACAGTTAGAGAAGACTTCTTAGAGGGGGAATACTGCAGCTGAGGTTTGAAGGATAAGAGGGATTTTTTTGCACTGACAAAAAGGACTAAAGAGGTCATTGTAGGCAGAGGGAATAATATCAGCAATGGTTTGGTGTTGAACATTACATTCAAAAATATAAGTCTAGTAGGAGAAAATTAAAAAGCACTTTTAAAAATGAATCAGCAGGTATTCCCTGAGCACTTACATTCTCAATATTGTGGTAATTAATTGCTATTGAGAATTCCGTGGAAACATAAAACAGCCTTAAGAAGCATATTGTCTACTTAGGAGGCAAACTTGGATGCAGAGAAGGAATGAACATGGTGTATGAGAGATGTTAGCAGGGTTGAATGGGGGCATCTTTGTGATAGACATACGTGGGCAAGGTCAGGGCATAAAGTCCTTGTGATAGCCAGAAAGAGAAGTTTGCTTTATAAACTAAGTCAAATGGAAAGACCCTGTAGTTTCTTTAGTACAGAAGGATGTAAAGAAAATTTTTTTTAATTTAGGAAAATTACCGTGGTATTATACAAGATAAATTAGAACAGGGAAACTTTATAGTTGCTAAAATATTAGGCATGTAAGTCATAAATGATAAAAGGGTATCAGTAAGGTTGGGTATTAGTTATAGGAATGGAAGCAAGTAGTAAATCCAAAGAACACTGCAAGGTAGGAAACTGTTAATACGTCTCCTTGAAAGTATTTGGTTTTTTTTTTTTTTTTTTTTTTTTTTTTTTTTTTTTTTTTTTTTTTTTTTTTTTTTTTTTTT